CACACACACACAGCAAGACCAAGTGATCAAAAGGGCATTTCCAAATCCAGGTCTTGTGTGTTCTAGCTTCAACCTTGCCATTCAGATTCTGTGTGGCAGGAATACAGGGTGAGTCATAGGAGGCAGGGTTCCAGGTTGGCTTTGTAAGAATCAGCCCTATGAACTGGGCAAGTCACTTCACCCACTGAGCCTCAGATGAAAAAATAAAGCTATTGAACTGGGCCAGCCTAAACTCCTTCTTCTTTAATGCTGGGATTCTAATTCCTAATCCTGGGACCCATAATGAGGGGTAGAGATAGGAAAACACCTCAAGGTGGAAATGAAGACAGACAAGGAGAAATTCAAACATCAGAAGAGGTGAGATGGTAGGTGTTTGCAGTTCATTAGAGATGAAGCTTTATCCCAGGTTCTGCCCATCCCAGCAAAGGACAAGAAACTGGGAAGAGGGCATGCAGTAAGGAGTAGGGGAAGGCTGAGTCTGTAGCAGAGAGCCAGAGAGCAGTGGAAGGCAGGTTGAGCCTGAGAACTCTGCAGAAGAGAGGATTGTGACACCATCATTTCCCCTCACCAGCTTGAATCTGGGAAAGGGAAGTCAGAAGTCATCACATCGGTTCCTGGTCATGACCCTTTCTACCTCCCTGCTCCCTTTTCCCAAGATTCTTTCTCTCCTTGGGCTCCTCAGGACAGGGAGATTGTAATAAAGGTGAATAAGACTAATATAACAGGTGAGGTATCCCCAAAGATGATGAGGAAGGGTGACATCTGGGTTCTAGGACTGGTGCTGGTGTCTGAGTGGGGAACTGGAGGGTCAGAAAAAACAGACATTCTATACAGCTGTCCCTTGGCCTCTCCCTAACCCTGTTTCTCCTTTACTAAAGCTGGGAGGATGCTGTTTGCTCCTGCCTCTGTGATGACATGAGAATGAGAATATACAGGTTTTGAGGTTCCAGAAGAAGCTGAACTGAGTCTTACCCTCCCCCACCAGTATCTAGCAATTGATGGATAGATGGGGAAGTGGGCAGGTGATGATACCATATTGCTGCTGCGTAATCAGTGGGACTCAGCAAATGGAGGCAGAGGATTGATTAATGATGATGGAAACAAAGTTGGGAACGAAGGTGGTTCAGAAGTTGGGAGGGGGGCAAATCTTTTCAATCACTGTGTGTTAGGTCCCTTCCTTCTTCCAATCAAACATGGTGATGAGCACAGAACAGATGCTAACAGCACCCACAGAGCACCCAGAACTAGCAGAGCAGACCAGCTGTCCTTAACTCTCCCTCATGATGTGTCCCTTACATCACCTCATAGTCATTGAGCAATGAATAAGGAAGACCACGGAAGAATCGATACATTGGAATTATGGTGCTGAATATTGAAAGTATCATGGACTGCTAGAAAAACAAGCAAATCTGTCTTGGAAGAAGTAAAGCCATAATATTCTTTAGAAGTGAGAATGGTGAAACTTTGTCTCACATACTTTGGATATGTTGTTAGGAAGGACCAGTGCTGGAGAAGGGTATCATGCTTGGTAAAATGGAGAGTCAGTGAAGAAGAGTAAGACCCTCGACAAGGTGGATTGACACAGTGGCAGCAACAATGGGCTCAAACAACAATTGTAATGAGGGCGCAGGACCCAGCAGTGTTTCATTCTGTTGTGTGTAGGATCACTGTGAGTCAGAACTGACTCTATGGAACTTAACAACAAGCAGCTATGGTCTTTATGGCTCCCAGGTAAGTGGATGTTGTTGTTGTCGTTAAGTGCTGTTGAGTAGGTTCATAGCGACCCCATATAGGGTTACCAAGGAGTGGCTGGTAGGTTTGAATCACCACCCTGATGGTTAGCAGTCCAGTGCTTATCTAACAGCAATGTTGTTGTTAAGTTCCTTCCAGTCAGTTTCAATTTATAGTGACCCTATATAAGGTTTCCAAGGAGCAGCTGATGGTTCTGAACTACCAACCTTGCAGTTAGCAGTTCAGTCAGTATCCTACAGCACCATACCAGGACTCCTATCCAACAGCGATGTTGTTGTTGTCAAGTGCTGTCGAGTCAATTCAGACCCATAGCGACCCTGTATAGGGTTTCCGAGGAGCAGCTGGTGAAGTTGATCCACAGATCTTGTGGTTCAAACCAACTTTGCAGTCCAACTCATTAACCCACACCAAGATCCCATCAACAGCAATGTTGTTGTTGTTGTTGTTAAGTGCTGTCGAGTCAGTTCTGACCCATAGCGACCCTGAACAGTATTCCCAAGGCTGTAAGTCTTTACGGGAGCAGAAAGCCTCATCTTTCTCCAGTGGAGCAGCTGGTAGTTTCGAACTGCTGACCTTGCAGTTTGCAGCCCTACACTACCAGAGCTCCTTATCCAACAATGATAGAGCTGTGCAAATATGCTTGTAGCCTACCAGGGAGATTGTATAGCTGTAAATGCAGTGTATAGCACCCTTGAGGGGACGGGACTGTGCAGATGAGGTATATGGAAGCTTAACATGAGGAGTGGTCAGTTTTGCCATCCCATTAGACTTGAGATGAGCCATGCCAGAGGCAGAAGGGGAAGCCTCACTCCCATTAAGAGAGAAGAACCCCAAGTGAAACATCTCCTTTGGACCTGAGATCCCTGCACCAACCCGATGTGATCCAGGAGACAAGTAGCTATCACACCAAAGATGGCAAAAGATCAGCAAAGGCAGCAGAAGCAGAAGGCAAGCAGGAGATGACGCAACGGGCTTCTCAGTCCACGGAGCAAGAAATCTCAATGTCTTCTGGCAAAAGGCTTGCTGAAGTGGGGTTCCCTGACCCATAGTGTGAGGAAGCTAGGTGCCTTTGAGCAGAAGACTTACTGGTGGACTGGGATACCTTTCAGTACCTATTGGCACAGTTAAGTGCTTTGTAACACTTGTCTGAGCAGGGCAGAAGCCAAGGGCCAAAAAGAGACATTCCTGCAGGCCTGGCTGAGAAGACGTTGTCCTGACCGAAGAACTGTATTCTGAGCATTTCTGATCCTCAGTTGTAACCTATTAACTTTCCTAATAAACCACATAATCATGAGTATGGTCTGTGGGTTCTTGTGTGGCCATTACAGCAGATTAGTGAACCCAGCAGAGAAGTTGAGAGTGCTGTGGGCAGGAGGATTGGTGTCAGCATTGGTAATGGTTAGACAATGGAGGCATGTCTGACCCCTGTCTCATGGGAATCAGCCTTGGTCTGATGCTGGTGGTGATTCTAGCTCCCCCTTGAGAAGTTAGAGGAGGTCACACACCACTCACACACCATTTTGCAACCCTGAAGAATGATCATTTCCATGATAAAGTCAAGGAGCATGGAAATCTGTGCCCTCTCCCTCTAGGCCTCCCAGGAGTCTAGGCTCCCAAGAACTTATATTCACCCCTCCTGCCTTTATGATGCCTCCATCCAACTCTCTAGACATTTTTTATGCAACAAACATTTATTGAACATCTACCTACTTGCTCCAGGGCTAGGCCCTGAAGATACATAAATGAACAAAACTCAATCCCTGATCACAGGGAACACCCTCCCGGAAAGCATAATATACCAATAGATGGTACAGTGTTTTATGGGAGCCCAGGGGAAGGGGAGTGATCAATTCCAGAGAAATCAAGATGGAGCAGAAGTCTTCACAGAAGTGCTGGCATGTGAGCAGGGTTCTTAGGTATGTATAGGAGCTCACCATGAGTAAGTGAGGAAAACTTCCAGGCTGTGTAATGAGCTTGAACTAATATGCTTAGGTGTGAGGGACACAGGGCAAAGGCACAGGCCTGCAGCTGCATGGGGGCATAGAGTAAATAAGGCTGGAGAAGTTCTAAGACTGACTGAGAATGGCTATGCCATCGTTACATTTGGACTGCTCCAGTCCCCGCCCTGGGGAATCAGGGAAGGGGAATTGCCCAAGCACAAACAAAGGGGGCTTTCGGGTGGGGTTCCCCACCCAAGTTCAAGAAGAGGAGCAATGTGACCAGGCCAATCCAGGGCCAACTTCAGTTGTCTTTGGGTAGGAAACCTGTGCATGCCTTTGTGTGCTCTTGTTTGTGTCTGGTCCTCAGTGGTTGCCTAGGAAAGCTCCTTGCCAAAGCTTCAAGTTTGGCTTGGCTAATCCAAGAAAAAAGGAATCTTGTCTGCAGTTAGGTGGGAAAATCAAAGTGCTCTAAATGCAGAAGCAGGCTCAACAGGGCAGGAGCTGGGACAATTCTGGGTCACTGCATTGAACCCTGTTCTCTAGGGCAATTTCCTGAGTCCCTTCCCCACCTTGGTTCCCTCTTCCACACCAAAAACAATTGGGAAGCTCAGAGAGGAAGTACAAAACGTCCTTTCATCCAACCAAGGCTTGCCCCCTCCCACCAAGGGAAACCCCTGCCTGGGTTGGGGGACACTCTCCTCTCCCTCAGGGCTCCCCTGCAGTACAGACAGAGAAGCTGGGCTCTGCTGAGCCTAGTGGAGATGTGTGGAGACCTAAGGTTGCATAGGCAGGTGGAGGGGCTGTCAGGGCTGGGTGGGCAGCAGGGCCAGGCTGAGATGGAGAGGGAGATGTAGGGTGAGGGCAGAAACGTGAGGGGAGAGAAGAAGCTGGAGTGGATGCCACTTCCTGGGCACCCCTGCTCCCTCGGCCTGGAGACCAGTATCGGCTTCGGAACCTCCGGAGCAGCATGAGGAATGTGATGACCAGGAGGTCAAAGATGAGCTCTGCCATCTCCACCACAGACAGCACCGAAGAGCCAAACCACAGGCTCCACTGACTGCCCAAGTTGGACAGGAGCGTGACCATCTGTGAGAGGGAAGAAGCGCACTGACCACTGGGCAGAGAAGCTGTGCTCCAGCTCCACAGCCCCTAGTCCCAACCAAGACATCACCCTTTATCTCTAGGATTCACCTACCCCACTCAGTCTCTGTGTCCCCCTGGACTCCTTGTTTCTGCTCCTCTCCCTTGGGAGAGGGAGAGAGCTTCTGGTAGATGCCTCCAGGGAAAACTGACTATTGGGCCACAAGCTCAGCTGAAAGTGAGATTTGTCTCAAGGGCCTTCTCCCCACCACCTGACATCTGCATCCCTCCCACCATCTCACTGCCCCTCAGCCTGAGCTCCCCTTCTCCCAACTCTCTCAACCTCATAGTTGACTCCTTGACCCCATTTCCTTGGTCTCCTATCTTAGAGGCCCAAGCCTTTCTGGCCCCACAAAGGCAACCCTTCTTCTCCATGACAGCCACCCTGCTCAGACACCCAAGAGAATCACTGACTCCGGGAAGCAGGACATACTGTGACAGAGGGAGACTCGGAGTTGGTTTTGTAGTTCAGCTCCTTGAAGAAGATGTTGAGTTTGGCAACTCCATTTCTTTAGCGTTGGGGAAAACATGGGAGAAAATAACAAAGGATAAATTTTCACACTTTCATAAACACTTTCTTCCAAAAAGATGTACTAATTAATTCCTCTTCCATGATCTGTTCCCTCCCAAGATGACTTTCCAGGGCAGGGACCAGGCTAGGACAGACCTTTTGTTGTTGATGGTGTAATTATTCTGTCGGGATAGCATCTGGTAGACCCAGTCCTGGAAAAGAATGGGGCATTAGTGTGGTTACTCCTATGCTCTTTAGAGTTATGGGGTTGGGGAGTTGGGTCAAACATACTCCATATACAGATGCCCAGAGAGGACCACAGCATTATATACACACACTCTCACACATTCTCCCAGATCCCTCCCTTTCCCACTTTACCTGGGATGTCACTGAGGGCCACCGTGAATAACCAGCAGACAGCTGGTAACTGGTCACACTAGAGATGGAAAAAGGTTTGCAGTGTTGCAGAGTGGGGCTCTCCCACTCAAGTTAGGTTCCCTGAATTCTACTCAGACCCACCTGTGACCTGGAGGGAGGCACACTCACTCACCTGCATGGCTTCCGGCATTTGGTGAAGCAGCCCAGACTGTCCATGGAAAAGGCAACCTGGAGCTTATAGTAGCAGTACCCTGTGGGTGGTGCAGAGAAGTGCCTGTTTCCCTAGGGCACCACAACCTTCTCCACCCCATACCCTAGAGGTCTCCACTTATCTGCCAGGTCCCTGAGCATCTACTTCACAAGAGCATCATATAGTATTACAATGGTTCTCATGAATATTCATAGAAAATCAAAAAACATAAGAAATTCAGCTAAGACGGAAGACAAATGCAGGGTACACCTTTGTGAAGATGTATGAGATATGGTCAAAACTTAAAAAGTCAAAAGCAAAATGGGAACAACTGCTGTGTAAGAATAATGGGAGTAAACCACAAGAGATGCCACTTCACCATTATCAAAAGACAAATAACAACAATAGTTGGCAAAAATGTAGAAAAATTGAAACCCTCATATAATGCTGAGGGGGATATGATATAAAAATGTGCAGCCATTTTGGAAAAGAGTCTGGCAGTGCCTAAAAAGGTTAAACATATAGTTACCATGTTGTTGTTGTTAAGTACCGTGGAGTCGGTTCCGACTCATAGTGACCCTGCACAGAGTTTCCAAGGCTGTAAATCTTTACAGGAGCAGAATGCCTCATCTTTCTCCCACTGAAAAGCTGGTAGTTTCAAACTGCTGACCTTGAGGTTGGCAGCCCAACTCGTAACCACTATGCTACCAGAGTTACCATATGACCCAGAAATTCCACTCCTATGTATAGGAAAGAATTGGAAATATATACCCACACAGAAATTAGACCAGCTTTCATAGTAGCATTATTTATAGTAACCAAAAAGTAGAAACAATCTGAATTTTCATCAATAGATAAATGGGTAAATACAATATTATTGAGCCATAAAAACAAAGTTCTGATGCATGCTAATGGATAAACCTTGCAAACACTGTAGCGTAAAAGAAGACAGTCACCTGAGGACTCTAGACTCATGGAAAGAGAAAGGCTGTGTGCTGGCAGGCAGGAGGCTGGCTTGCAAATTGTGCCCTTTGGTTGTTTAAACAATTACATATTCCTGTGTGTTTTTGTGTACCTCAAAAAAAAAAAAAAAAAAAAGAGGGGATAGAGGAAAAATATTGTTAACCAATGGTGCATGGAGGGGATTTTAATCATTGCAATGAAACAAATACAATTGGTTGAGTGCAAAACCAATGTTCTGCCATGTAACTCATCACTCAATTCACAATAAAAGCTTTAAAAAAAGATTTACAGCCTCGACAACTCTATGCAGGGTCATTATGAGTCAGAACCAATTCCATGACACACCATCACCATCACCAATCCTAACCCTTAATTTATATCTTAACCTGATTATGTTGTGCTTTTTTTGAAAGCTGTAACCTAAGCACACCTTACCCAATGGGAACTATCCCTACAAACTAAGTGTTTTAACACAAAGCTCATGATGTACTTTATTTACGTAGTCATCACAGTGACTTTGTGGAAAAAAGTAAATGCCTCAGCCCATAAAAAAAAGAAGGCGGCAGTCACAAATGACCAGGTACTGATCGCATGAGTCCATTGATAGGAAATGTCCAGAGAGATACATCTATAGGGACAGAAACAGATTAGCAGTTCCCAGAGCCTGGGGAGAGAATGGGGTACAGTAGAGGGACTGCGGAGAGACTAATGAGTATAGGATTTCTTTGGGGGATGACGAAAATGTTATAAAATTAATTGTGGTGGTGATGGTTGCACAAACTCAGAGAATATACTAAAAACCACTGAACTATATACTTCAAGTGAATGAATTATATCTCAATAAATTGTTAACACACACCCCCCACCAAGTAATATATTGCTTAAGGTGTACTGAGTTTCTGCTAAGGGTAAAGAAAAAAAATCTAGAAATGAATAGTGGTGATGGATGCACAACATAGTGAACATAATTAGTGTCACTGAATTAATTGTTCATGTAAAAATGGTTGTAATTGCAAATGTTTTATTATATATATCTTACAATATTTTTTTAAACCTCAATGAAATATTGCTGTACACCTACTAGAACGGCATACACAAAAAGATTAACAATGTCCATTTTTATGAGAATTTTGATAGGTTGTTATTATGACTCCTGGTGTGATCAGCACTGCACTGCAGACCATAAAGTCGGTAGTTCAAACCTACCAGCTACTCCCCAGAAATCCTATACAGGGAACTGACTAGATGGCACTTAACAACAACAACAACCAGCACATATTGCTGGTGGGATTGTAAAATGGTACAATCTCTATGGAAAAGGTGTGGCAGTTTCTTGTCAAATAAAACATACACCTTATCTTCAACTATTCCTCTACAAAGCATATACCAAAACAGATGGAAACCTAGACAATAGGGGGAAAAAGAGAAGAAGAATCATCATGGATTTCCCTCCCCATTTCCCAAGTAAGATTATTTCATCATTCTTGCTTTTAGTCACTCAACCCTCCCTCTTACATCTCCCCCTATCTGGGAGACTCATTTTCTAACCCAGATCCCTACATCTAAAGCCCTGGCCGTGTAGTGGGTTACGAGTTGGGCTGCTAACCTCAAGGTCAGCAGTTCCAATCCACCAGCTGCACTCCACAGAAGAAAGATGAGGCTTTCTGCTCCTGTAAAGATTTAGACTCAGAAACCAAATGTTGTTGTTGTAGTTGTTAAGTGCCATCAAGTTGGAGTCCACTCATAGCAAACCTGTATAGGGTTTCTGAGGAGCAGCTGAAGAATTTGAACCACCAGCCTTGTGGTTCAGACATTGAAGTCCAACACATTAACCCACAACGCCACACCAGAACTCACAGAAACCATCTATAGGGTCGCTATGAGTTAGAATCAATTAGAAGGCACACCACCACCACCAACAGAGCTGGGGATGTAAAATTAGGAAGAATGGGAAACAGCTGGGTCTTTTTCTCTGGCGAGTAAGCAAGCAATCCTTAGAAAACTCAACAGACCTTAGTTCCTCACCCTAGTCCTCACAACTTCCCAGCTATCAGTATTGTTTATTTTTCTCTCATAGATCTTCTTCAAACTCACAACAACTTATCAATAATTGTCTGGAGATAAGGGTTAGTAGGAGTCCTGGCTCTGCATGTCCTGGGATGTGTCATGTTTTTCAGTCTCACCCTTACCCAAGGACCTAAGTTTGCTCATCTAGGAAAGGAAAAGGTGAGGCAAGATGGCCTCTGAATTTTGCTCCAGTTCTGATGTGCTCTGATCCTCTAAGGTCAGAGAGACAGGATGTGGGAGGCAGCGGGAGACAGGAAGTAGAGGCAGGAGAATGAATAGGGCCTGAGCAGTTTTAGGGAAGAAATGAGGCAGAAAGATAAACAGACAGAACCAAGATGGGGAAGTGCGTTAAATTTGGTGAAACAGTCCTTCAGGAGGACGGGAGACAGACGAGATGCCTCCAAGTTTTCGGTGTCCATGGTCATGTTTCCTGAGGAGTCTGAAGGCTCTCTCTCTCCTAACATTGGCTGCTGGCCCACCTACTCCTTCGCCCACTCTGAGGAGGGCTGGGCCCAGGGGAAACTTAGAAGGGGGAACCATGGGAGGTCTGGTCTGCTAAATCAGCCAAGGCCATCTCTAGCAAGATAAGCGTATGTGTGCAGGAATGCAAACTCCCGGAACTTCTATATTTTTTTGGTTGGAATTGGCTTTATCTCTCAGCTTCCTAGTATGCAGTTTCCTTGCTGAATAACTCAGCTGAAGTGGGAATAAAGAGGGAATTGTCTCCCCTAGATCAGGATAAGGAGAAGATTCCAGTGCTGGCCACACTTTTGTGATTGTGTCTTCCCACAGGTTATTGTTGTTGTTACCTGTACAATTAAATGTATACAGTATATGTTGTTGTTATGTGCCGTGGAGTCGGTTCCAACACATAGCGACCCTGCACAGGGTTTCCAAGACTGTAAATCTTTATGGGAGCAGAAAGCCTCATCTTTCTCCCGCGGAACAGCTGGTAGTTTCAAACTGCTGACCTTGCGGTTCACAGCCTGATTCGTAACCACTGCGCTACCAGAGCTCCTTATACAGTATATACATTATAAAAATAAAAAACCACTGCCATTGAGTCAATTCTGATTCACAGTGACCCTATAAGGGGTTTCTGAGCCTGCACAGCTTTATGGGAGCAGGTAGCCTCATCTGTGCTCCTCAGAGTAGCGAGCAGGTTTGAACTACTGACCTTGTAGTTCGCAGCCCAACACATAGCTCACTATGCCACCAGGGCTTCCTGTGTACATTATAGAACATATATAAAATGGTCAGGATTGAAATCAATACATAGAACTTCTAATATTTTCTTCCCGTTCCTTGTCTTGTTCCCCCTCCCTGCTCCACTATGTCTTGGAGACCAGCATACTAGAGGCCCCGAAAGGTGTTGGCAATAGCCATCCCTGCTAAGCTCCCAAGGGTGCGCTGGGAGAGTTGTCAGTAGAGTGGTAGAGCATGGGCTGAAACCTTAGTGAGCAGAGAATGACTGACCCCTTCCTGCTTGAGATTTCCCTCATGTGTTCTTCCTTCCTTTTACTGCAGGTTATTTTTAAATGGGTAAAATTTGACCAACACACAGAAGTTAAAACAGAAAGAGAGGGAAAGGAGAGGGACCGAGAGAGAGGTAAACAGAGACACAGAGATAAGGGCTAAAAGGTGACTATGAGAAGAATTCATCTGGGCTGGTGGGAGCCAGAGGCCATCCCCACAAAAGAAAGGAGAGCACTTGTTGGAAAGTTCTGAAGTTGGATGGGGAGGGGCATCTCACCCCAGGATCTATGCTTCCAGTAGTCACAGTACTCCACATCCTGGGGCTTTGGGTAGAAGATGTAGGCACAGCCACACTCCTTGATCATGCTCTCCTGGAAGCAGGAATGAATACACACCTGGAAGAAAGAAGAATGAAGAGGAAACGGGGTTCAGGCCTCATGGACTGCCTCACCTTCCGACCCACACAGCCCACAAAGGGCAGGGCAGGACAGGACAAAAATTCTCTGCACTGCACCTCCAGCCCTCTTTCCACAAGCTCCCCACCATGGCCCACCTTCATCCCCCATCTCTGAAAGACAAACACTCTACAACCTTGACTGCCTGGCAGGTGGGGCCTCACCTGCTGAGTGTAGTTGGAAGCGTAAAGGTTCTTGACAGGGATGTCGCTGCCATTCTTGGTACAGTCACCATAGTTGCCCCCAAGTCTGTCCAGGGCTTCCTATGAACCCCCACACCAAGAGGTCAGAACTCAGAGCCAATGGCCCAGACCATGGCCAGGATTATGTCTTCCCTTAACTCCAGAGGTATCTCATACCCTGCCAGCCTCTTCTACCAGCTAACCATCTGTAAGCATGTGCTCCCAGCAGCCCTCAGTGCCCATCTCAGTACCACTTCCAAGGGTTCTGGGCCAGAGAGCCATTTCTAAGCATCCCTTGACCCTTTCTCAGCACCTTCCCACCCAAAGTCCACTCTCCAGTGTCCTACCTCCCAATGCCCACTCTGCCAGTCCCTTTGTCCCTCATTTCTGCCCCCGAAGGCCTCCACATGATCTCCCTCCATAGTCTTCTGGGTTTCAAGGTCACCTCCCAGACCCTTTCCAATCTGGGGCTCTCCTCCCAAGTTTCCCAGTCTTCTTCATGCATCCTTGCCTTCTTCATGCTGATGGAGGTCTCCACACCAGGGCGCAAGTTAAAGCCACCATCATCCATAAAGGCAGGTTCATCCTGCCCATGCACCATGACCCTGGCCCCTGTCACTGTGGAGAGCAGTGGGATGAAGTCATTCTGCTCTGTTCGCAACACCAGGGAGAGGCCTGGGGGCATGGGAGGGGTGGAGAGGGAGAGAGAAAAAATCATAGAGAAGAGTTAGTCTGTGGGAACCCACTGATCCATCAGCCTACTCTCTAGTGGTTTGAGGAGAACAAAAAGCCAGAAATATCTACAAATGGATTTAGCAACCTCTGAGTTGGAGTCAAATGAGCCCTGGTGATTCAATGGCTAAAGCACTTGGCTGCTAATTGAAAGGTCAGTGGTTTGACCCCACCAACTACTCCACAGGATAAAAGACCTGGCAATTTGCTGACATAAAGATTCTAACCAATCAAATCCATTGCCATAGAGTCTGTTCCAGCTCATAGTGACCCTATAGGTTATAGTCCAACTGCCCTGTAGGGTTTCTTTATGCAAGCAGATGGCCACATCTTTCTCCTGCAGGGTTGCTGCTGGGTTCACTTGACAAGTGCATCACCAGTACTCCTTCTGGAAACCTATGGGCCTTCTGGGAAACCCTATGGGCCATGTTAGTTATCTAATGCTGCATTAGTAGAAATAGCATAAATGGGTAGCTCTAACAAACAAATTGATTCTCTTATAGCTGAGGAAGCTAGAAGTTTGAGTTCAGGGTGCTGGTTCTAGGGGAAAGTTTTCTGTCTTTCAGCTCTGGGGGACGGTCCTTGTCTCTTCTGAGTTTTTGTCCTTGTCTCTTCTGAGTTTTTGCTCCTGAGCGATCTTCATGTGGCTTGGCATCTCTTTTCCCCAAACTCTGCTCTATTTCCTTCTTGAATCTCTTTCATATCACAAAAGAGATTGGCTCAGGTTATACCGGATACTAATTTGGTCTCATTAACATAACAAAGGCAGCCCATTCCCAAATGGGATTACCACCACACATATAGAAAGTAGAATTTGTAACACACATTTTGAAGGGGAAACAATTCAATCCACAACAAAACAGTTCTACTCTGTCCTGTTGGGTGACCATGAGTCAGAATCGACTTTACAACATCCAGTAACAGAGCTGGCATATGGAGGCAGGCAGGAAGGCTTGGGACAGGATTCCTATCAGGTCTGGAATGGACCAAGTAGTGCCCACAGGGGGAAAAGAGCAGGGAGAACTCCTCCTAGGATAGAGGTAGGCATGTGTTAGTGAGACTCAGAAGGCACACAGCATCTCAACCAATGGGGATGTGAGCAGAAGTGTATCTAAGGCCTGGAAGGTCTGGCACATGCCCTGGGTACCACATGAAGGGGAGTGCCAATGAGGAGCTTCCACCACCAGCTATGAGAACTCATTAAAAAATTTACAACTAATTGCCATAGATGGGCAGATGGAAGTGAACCCAAGGCCAGTAAATGTAGGCTGGGTGGTGTGAGGGAAGGGGGAGTTGCTCACCATTGTTGATCCCAGGCAGGGAAGACATCCAGAGGTTGGAGTTGTTCTTGTGATTGAAAGTGTAGCAGTTCCCATACATCAGGTGGTAGGAGCGAGAATAATTCCTTGTCAGGAGAGAGAGTCAGAGAGGAAGGTGTAGGAATCAGAGGGAGTAGGGAGGTGAAACAGGAAAATCTCCACTCCCTCAAACTCCTGCTGCACATACGTCTTTCAGAACCACCTGTTTCCTGATCCCCTACTACAAGTACGTGCCGTACCACAACTGCATCACAGAAAAGGAAGCTAAGGCTGAAAGAGGTCAAGCAACGGGTCCAGAAAGATACAACCAGTGATGATGAACCTGGGACACAAACCTTGTGCTCTTCCTACCAAACCATCCAGCCTCATTAGCCTTGACTTGCAGGCTGCCTTGTGGCCTCTCTCGTGTACTGGGTTGCATGATGAAAATTCTTGTAGTAACTTCTCACATGTCTAAGTCTTGGTTCCCTGACTGAATTGTGAGCCCCTTGAGGACAGGAGCCACAGCTTTCTCATCTCTATTTACTCTCTTAATACCCTCTCAGCTAACTGCACAGTTCTTCCCTTATAACCAAAACCAACACCCCACTGCCATCGAGTCAATGCTGACTCATAATGACCCACTGGATGCTCTGCAGGAGAAAGAAGAGGCTGTTTGCTCACATAAAGACAACCTCGGAAATCCCATGGAGCTAATACCCTATATGTATTAGCTGTGAGGTTCAAACAAATTACTTATTCTCAGTACCGCAACTTCCTCATCTGTAAAATGGGGATAATAAAAGGACTTGCCTCTAAGTGAGATTTAAATTATGCTTAGAATCATGCCTACTAAATGTTGTTGCCATAGCAACCCTGCACAGGCTCTCCAAGGAGCAGCTGGTGGGTTTCAATTGCTGACCTTGTGGTGAGCAGTCCAGTGCTTATCCTACAGCACCACACCAGGACTCCTATTAAATAGTAAGAGCTATATAAATTTACTAAGGAACTCTGGTAGTATAGTGGTTATGAGTCGGGCTGCTAATCTCAAGCTCAGCAGTTTGAAATTACCAGCTGTTCCACTGGAGAAAGATAAGGCTTTCTGCTCACATTCCAAGATTTACCACCTTGGAAACCCCATGCAGGGTCACTATGAGTCAGAACCAACTTCACAGCATACTACCACTACCACCATATAAATTTACTATGGTAGCGTAGTGGTTACGAATCAGGCTGTGAACCGCAAGGTCAGCAGTTTGAAACTACCAGCTGTTCCGCAAGAGAAAGATGAGGCGTTCCACTCCCGTAAAGATTCACAGCCTCGGAAACCCTGTACAGGGTCACTATGAGTCAGAACTGACTCCACGGCACATAACAACAACATCAACATTATGATTATAGGGATCCGGAATGGATAAAATTAAAAAGACAGACAATAGCAAGTATTGGGGGACATGTAGAAAAATTGGAACACTCATGCATGGCTGCTGGCACTATAAAATAGCAGCTCCTGAAATTACTAAACATAGAGTTACCATGTGGTTGTTAGGTGCCATCAGGTTTGGACTCATTGCAACACCATGGGACACATTAAAACTGCCCAGAGAGTTTTCTAGGTTTTAATGTTTACAAGAGCAGGTCACTAGGTTTCTTTCCAGCAGAAGTGCCACTGGGTGAGTTCGAACCCCAAACTTTCCATTAGACCTGAGTGCTTAACTGCTGCACCACTACTCATAGGTATACCTACAAGAACCTGGTACATGAATGTTCACAGCAGCATTATTCATAATAGCCAAAATGTGAAAACAACCCAAATGTCTGTCAATTCATGAACAGCTGAACAAAACATGGTATATTCATTCATATAACGGAATGTTATTTGACCATTAAAGGAAATGAAGCTTTAATACATGCTACAACATAGATGAATCTTGAAAACATGCTAAATAAAGGAAGTCTGCCATAAAAGGCTGCATACTGTATGATTTAATGCTATGGTGTGGTACCATAGGATAAACATGAGACTGCTAAACATAAAGTCGGGGGTTCAAACCTATCAACGGCTCCTTGGAAACTCTATACAGGGTGGCTATGAGTAGGAACTGATTCAACGGCACTTAACAACAACAACAATTGTATGATTCCTTATATGAAATGTCCAGAATAGGCAAATCCACAGAAATCTAGAAAGTCTATTAGTGGTCACTGGCTGGAAGAAGGAGGATAGGAGTGACTGCTCGTAGTCACTTTTGAGAGTGATGAAAATGTTCTAAACGTCAACGGTGATAATGGTTACATAACTCTGTGACTATAGTAAAAAAACCACTAAGCTGTATACTTCAAAAGGTGAATTTTAGGGTGTGTGAATTATATCTCTCTCAATAAAGCTGCTATTAAAGAAGAAAAGATTGTACTTACACCAAAAATACTCCCTGAGGTCTTCTTAAAACCGAACAATAGTTTAGCTAGTAAAGAATGTCCACGTTGAGCATCGTGCTCTTTCAAGATCTAGCTATATGGGATCCAAATGACAATAGCAACTTGAAAGATTAGATGGGAACTTTAGGTGTCAGTGAGGTTATGTTAAAGAGGGATGGATGGTTGCACAGCACCTAACTATGACAACAAGAATGTAGTCAGTGTCACTGAATTGCATATTTAGAAACTATTGAAATGATAAATGTTCTGAATCATAATTTTTAAAAAGCCACTGTCATTGAGTTGATTCTGACTTCTCGTGACCCTACAGGACAGAGGAAAACTGTTCACAGGGTTTCTGAGACTGTAAATCTTTATGGGACCAAACAGACTCATCTTTCTCCCACAGATCAGCTGGTGGGTTTGAACCACTGATTTTTCAGTTAGCAGCCCAGCGATTAACACACTGTGCCACCAGAGCTCCTTGAATCAGAATAGTGAAGTCCTCCTGTGGTTACAGATGGTTACAGAAGTGAAGGAAGGGTTTAAAAGACAAGAAGACAAATTAGGAGAGAGTTACAATCGTCCAGGTGAGGAAGGATGGGGCTCTGAGCTAAGGTGATCTAAGTGCCAAGAAAAAGATGAACTATGGACTGTCATTAATAACGAGGATGGGCACATGGGGAAGGCAGAGCCTGAGGACTGGGATGAAAACTCCAGGTGGGAAGGTCAAAAGGGGACAGAATAAATCAAGTGGCAAGTGTGGGCTGACCCAGGCTCAGGTGCTGCTCCTGCTATATTCCCCAGGTGTCAGCCTCTGTCCTCAAACAAACACAAAGACTAAAGACGGGAACAGAATTGTGTGCTGGGCAGAGAGGCAAGGGGAGGGGGTAGAAGCAGGTGACACCTGGCCCTGCTGCCATTGTCCAGTGACATAGGAGGGGAGGGTTCCCCATGAATTGAGGAGAAGTAGAAAGGGAAAGAAAGCGTAAGAGGGGCCAGATGCTACAGAAGGGAACCTCCCACCCTCCTCTGGACATTTCATATAAGGAATCATACACCTCCTTAAGTACAAAAGTAATGATACTCAACTTTCCCACAATACTTAGTGGCCTATGAAGAGTCCTCACATTTGTTATCTGTGTGATTGATTCTTGTAACTCTTGAGGGGATGTTACCATCTTTGTCACTTGAGTCAAATGTAAAAAGGATAGATCTTAAAATCTATAACCAGGGTTATAGATCTGTTTTCTTGGATGCATCCCAAGTGCTGAGAACAGTAATGAGCACCTAGCCCTCACATTCAAAATATTTGTTGAATGAACATTGAATGGAACACACACACACACACACACACACACACACACACACACACACGTGCCTCAACATTTACCTCCCACCCCGACACACACCCTTTATTTTATAAGCAAACTGAGGCTCTGTCGGGGAATGGGAAATGCTCACTATCACCTTACCAGGAAGGAATTCAAGTGTGGTCCCTCAGTCTAGAGCTCTTTCCATCACACCACTACTGCCTGCCTCATCTGAGAAAGGCAAGTATGGGAACAAGAGACTTCTCAGGCCCTTTTGAGCTTTGGTGCTAGTGAGAAAGAGGCCCCAGAAAAACAGAGACAAGCAGGCTTAAAGAATTCAGAACTCAAGGCCCAAGTTTCCCAGACCACCCCTATGGAGCTACCCCTGCAGAGCAGGCGAGGCAGAAGTCTGCAAAGGATTCCCACAGGACAGAGGTTTGGACCTGAGATCAAGGCTTTCTCCTTCCCTGCTGGCAGACATTTATTTCATCAACAAGATTTCCTGGCCCTTCCCAAGCTAGGCCTAAGGCTAGCCCAGGGAAGGGGGTTCTATTGGGAGCTCGGAACAAGACAGGAAGGACTCACGCCTGGTTGCAGGAGTTCTGGTTGAAGCGGCAGGCAAAGATGAAGCTGCCAAGTGTGTCCTCCTCCAGGGATGGTGAGCCATCAGGCACTCGGGACAGAATGTTGATGTAGTGGAAGCGGTACCACTCCCTCACTGCATCCACCCCTGATGAGTATGTCTGGTAGAAGCAGTCCGATTTGTTGTGGTTGCACTGGACAAAGAGATCAGAGGGTCAGGAGACAGGCAGCAGGGTAGGGCCATGGTAGACAAGAGGACTGTTAGAAAAGGGTATGGAGTTAGAGATGGGGATGAAAGAAAAACAGAGGGGGAGAATAGATCCGAAGAACATGGGATTAAGGGAGTGATGGGCAAAGGGAAGGAGTCCCTGGCTGGCACAAATGATAAAGCATTCAACTTATGTATTCAAGTGGTTAATGGTTTGAACCTACCCAGTGGTACCTTGAAAGAAAGGTCTAGTTACCTACTTCCAAAAGGTTACTGCCTTCAAAACTCTATGAATCCCAGTTCTCTGAAACTCATGGTTCAGAAGAGCCTCCGTGGTAACTAGTTTGGTTTGGGGCTGGAGAGAGGAGACTAGGAGCTGCAAACAGACGGTTGCTGGTGAGTCAAACCCACCAGCCACACCTCGGAAACTGTAGACAGGATCACAGTGAGTTGGAACCAACTCTTTGGCACTTAACAATAACAATAACAACAACAAAGAAGGACAAGGCAAGGAATCTTCTCTGTCATTTCACTGATGGAAGATTGAGGCATCAAGAGGTCTGTCCCAGCAGCAGGAACTGAAACTAGAACTCAGGTTTCATGGTAGAATGGCCTACTGGCACTAGAGGGAACCTCTCTATCTCCTTTTGTGCTTCCCCTATTTTTCTCTTACTCTCTCATATTTTTTACTGGCAGTCCCCAGTTACTAGAAATAGGTTCCTTGTTGTTGTTAGGTGCCATTGAGTTTGTTCCTACTCATAGTCACCCTGTATAGAGTTTCCAAGGAGCAATTGGTGGATTAGAACCACCAACTCTATGGTTAGCAATCCCAACAGAATGAAACACTGCTGGGTCCTACACCATTCTCATAATTGTTATATTTGAGTCCCTTGTTGCTGTCACTGTGTCAATCCATCTCCTTGGGGGTCTTCCTCTTTTTCCCCACTACACTTTACATAGCATAATGTTCTACAAGGGCTGGTCCCTCCTGGCAACATGTCCAAAGAACAAGAGATGAAGTCTCACCATCCAGACTTCTAAATACAGTATTCTGGCTGTACTTCTTCCAACACAGATTTGTTTGTTCTTTTGGCAGTCCATGGTATTTTAAATATTCTTTTCCAACACCGTAATTCAAATGCACCAGTTCTTCTATGGTCTTGTTTATTCTCTGTTCAACTTTCACATGCATATGAGAATGAAAATACTACAGCTTGGGTCAGGTGCACCTTGGTCCTCAAACTGACATCTTCACTCCTGAACACTTAAAGAGGTCTTTTGCAGATTTGCCTAATGCAATATATCATTTGATTTCTTCATGAGCATTGATTGCAGATCCAAGTAAAATGAAGTTTTTGACAATTTCAATTTTTTCTCCATTTATCATGATGCTATTTATTGGTCCACTAGTGAGGGTTTTCATTTACATGGATTTTCATTGAGGTGCATACAATCCATACTGAAGGCTTTGATCTTAATCAGTAAGTATTTTTAAGTCCTCTTGGCTTTCCTCAGACAAGGTGTGTATCATCTGTGTATCGCAGGTTTTTAATGACTCTTCTTCCAATCTTGATGCCATATTATTTGCATATTATTTGCTTCTTGTATTATTTGCTCAGCATACAGATTGGATAAATACGGTGAAAACATACAACCCTAGTACACACCTTTCTTGATTTTAAAACATTCAGAATCACCTTGTTCTGTTCTAACAACTGCCTTTTGGTCTACATACAGGTTCCTCATGAGCACAATTAAGTGTTCTGGAATTCCCATTCTTTGCAATGTTGTCCATAGTTTGTTATGATTCACACAGTCGAATGTATCTACAGAGTCGATTAAAGTAAACGTAAATATCTTTCTGGTATTCTCTGCTTTTAGCCAATATCTATCTGGCATCAACAATTATATCACTAGCTTTACATCCTCTTCTGAATCCAGCTTGAATTTCTAGCAGCTCCCTGTCAATGTACTGCTGCAACTATTGATGAATTAGCTTCAGAAAAATGTACTTGCATGTGAGATTAATGATATTGTTTGGTGATTTTTACATTCTATTGGGTCACCTTTATTTGCAATGGGCACAATCGGTTGACCAGGTAGTTGTCTTCCAAATTTCTTGGGATAGGTGAGTGAGCACCTTCAGTGCTATCCAGTTTGTTGAAACATTTATATTTGTATTACATCAATTCTTAGAGTTTTGGTTTTTTTTGTGTGTGGTTTTTTTTTGCCAAAGCCTTCAGTGCAGCTTGAACTTCTTCCTCCAATACCATCAGTTCTTGATTATGTGAGCTCAGTTCCTAAGTGTGTCTTTAAGTTGAATTTGTAAGGTAAATTAAAAATAAGATTCTTATTTAGCTTTACTTTACTGTAAAGATTTGCAGCTTTGGGGACCCTATGGAGAAGTAATACTCTGCCCTATTGAGTTGAAATCAACTCAAGGGCAGTGGGTTTTTAGGTTTTAGCACAAGAAAAGGTTCAATGTCTTTACAATGATGTTAAAAGCTACAAGTGCAACAAGTGAAGGTGATTGTGATGAAAAATGTGTGTAGGGGTTGGTTCAGACTCCTGGTGTGGCGCTGTAGGAACAGCACTGGATTTGGAACTACAAGATGGGCAGGTCAAACCCACCAGCTCCTCCTCAAAAAATGCTATGAATCAGAACCTACACCTCCTCTTAACAACAACACTTAACAGGCACTTAACAACAACAACTTAACAACAACAACAGGAGTTGATTCAATCCTTTCAAAGTGAGGGGAAATTTACATAACATATAAGGGCAAGTGCATTGTAATTCGGACTATCATGACATGAGCAATTGTTGGGTTTTTTCTTTTTTAAAAAAAAAAAAAAGACTTCACTGGTTGCAGATAAGTAAGGCCCAGAGGGACCAGGGAAACACGCCGCCCCCCGGAGGCTTCAACTCAGGGCGACCTTGTAAAGGTTTTCCTGGAGTCCTGGTGTGGAGCTGCAGGGTAAGCACTGGACTGTTAACCACAATTCTTAAACCGTCAGACCCCAGTTCTTCTTCACACTCACACTCTCACTCTCACTACCATCAAGTGGATACGTACTCAAAGGGACCTGCATAAGGTTTCCTAAACTGCAAATCCTTACGGTAACAGAAACCCTCATCTTTCTCCCGGAGTTGCTAGTGGACTTGAACTTCTGACGCTGAAGGTAGCAGTACGGTGACTAACCAAAAGCACCACCAGAGCTCCTCTCTACCACACTGGAGGGTCCTAAGTCCACAGTGGGGCATGGTGGGGGTGGGGGAATAACACGCCTGAATTCTGAAAGGTGCATTTTCTACATCCGATTTGACTCCCTGCTTTAAAAAGGCTCCACGTAAGAGACCCCACGAGCGGAGAGACAGAGAGATGTTGTTATTTATTTATTCACTTATTCATCCATGGCTAGTGAGTCTACGAGGTTCCGCCTCAGATCACTAGGCAACGGAGGCGGGGTCAGGGAATGGAGCAAAGTCCAAGCAGTGGGCGGAATCAGAGGGGACAGGAGTGAGTGGGCGTGGCCATCTGGGCCTTACCAGTTGGAAGCCGATCTTCCAGTCCTCCCTGTTCACTTGGGGGTTGTTGTCCCGCATGCCAGAGGCCGCGCTGCGGGCCTGGCGGGGACTGGGCGGCACCTGCAGGCGCTGCAGGGGGTGCGGCAGAGTCCTTCCGAGGTCACGGCGGCGGCGGTGAGGATGGGCTCCCAGGGTGTTGGAGCAGTTGTATTTGTACAGGTCGTAGAGCGTCTGCTCTGCGATGCGGTCCAGCTCCTCCAGCTCCTCTTTAATTTCAGTGTACCTGGAGGGCCGATGAGAAAAAGCGCAGAACTAGAGGGTTGGACTGGAGTCCTGGTGTGACTCTGTAGGATAAGCACTGGACCGCAAGGTCGGTTTGAACCGCAAGGTGGGCTGTGCAAACTCACCAGCTGCTTGCACCTTGGAAACCCTATACAGGGTCAGTTCTGAGTCGGAACTGAATCAACGGGCACTAACAACAACTACAAAGCGGAAAGCCTCACTTGTTTCCCTAGTTCATCCAGGCCTTTTTCATCTGTAACCAGTGAAGTCAGTTAGTTCATCCTGGAGAGCTGTGAAGCTAGTGGGTGCACATTCAGGTGCCCCCAGGGCTATCACTGGAGGGTGGGGGAGAGGGTGTAGACAGGTGTGTCTGAGGGAGAATGTGGAGGCGACAGGAGACAGCATTTATTGCCTTCAGTTTATTGCCAGGTGGAGACGCCAGCCCGTAGGGTCTCCCCTCCCACTTGCCCTTACCTAGAAGGAAACCTGGAACCTGTGTTTTCTTTCCCCAGGCAGGTGAGGGGTGGGCTTTAGCCTGGGCCCAAACTTTCCCAAGGAGCTGACCATCCTGCTCTTCACCCCTAAGGTAAGAATGAGTGGCATCTGGGCCAGTGTCTGCCACCAGGCACCATCCAAATCAGGGGTCCTCAACTCATTTAGAATCTCTTGAGGAACTTTTAAAATACAAGATATCACTCCTCCATTCCACTCGCAGAGATTTAGTTTAATGCGTTTCAGATACGGCCCAAACATCCTAAACTAATGCGCCAGACTGCAAAGCCATTTGAACTACAAGGTCGGTGGTTCAAGCTCACCAGTCGCTCCTTGGAAACCCTATACAGGGTTGCTATGGGTCAGAACCAACTCGACGGCACTTAACAACAGTCTAGTACAACTGTCTATCTAGTAGAACTGATGCTTTTGAGTTATGGTGTTGGAGGAGAATATTGAAAGTGCCATGGGCTTCCAAAAGAACTAACAGATAGATCTGTGTTGGAAGAAGTACAGCCAGATTGTTCCTTAGAAGCCAAGATGAACAGACTTCATCTCTCCTATTTCAGATATATCAGGAGGGACCAGTCCCTGGAGAAGGACATCATGTTTGGTAGAGGGTCAGCAAAAAAGAGGGAGACCCCCAATGAGATAGATTGGCACAGTGGCAGCAGCAATGGACTCAAGCATAACACAGATTGTGCAATTGGCACAGGACTGGATAGTGTTTCATTCTGTTATGTTATTAGGGTCACCATGGCTTCACAATACCTAGCAAAAGACTTAATGTTTAAAAATGAAATCATCCCTAGCAGGACTTTAGAAGTTATCTATTTAAATTATGTGCTTTGTAAAATGAACACTTAAAACTCTCAGAAGATTATTCAAGACAACAACAGTAAGGTGTCTTCCAAAACTCATCTTTAGCTTCAATATAATTCCACTAAAAATTTCAGCACACTAGTTTGAAGAAATTGACAGGTAGACTCTAAGATTTAAATGAGACTGCAAAGGATCTAGAATGGCCAACACAAGTTTAGAAAAAGAAGAGCAAAGTTGGAGGATTTATTCCACCCGACTTTAAGACTTAACTCATCACCACCTCCAAGCTGTGCTTTCTCTGGCCACATCACAATTCCCCATCAAACCCCATGCTGTCCTCATGTCAGGCTCTCCCTTCAGTGACTCCCCTGGCTCTTCCAGAGAGGCCTCTGGTGATCCCCTACATCCCCACCCACTCTACCACACCTCACCCCCTGTCTTCCAGTTTAATTGTCTTTGATTTTCCTCCCTTCTTCCAACCTTTAAACACACATCAGTGGCAAGGCCTCCAGAAAAGGGAGAGGTCAGGCTCCATACAGAAACCCCTCATTCTCCAACATCTACTTCCCTCCTTTCTTTTAAGGCAGGAAGAAGTACTCCCATATCACCCCTGAAGCATGAAATTCCTATAACAGGAGGCAGATCCTTTCAGGTGAAACCTAGAGCTAAGATTGACTGCTAGGTAAAACATACTTGCTGTGAGCCAAGAATTGTTGTTGTTTGGTGCTTTTCAACTTTTAGTGACCCCATGTGACAGAGTAGACCTGCCCTATAGGGTCTTCTAGGTGTACTCTTTATAGAAGCAGATCACCAGATCTTTCTTAAGGAGCTGTTAGCTGGGTTTGAACCACCAACCTTTCAATTAAACTCACAGACATTAACTTAATGCGCTTAACTAATGCACCAAATCCCACCTTTGACACTAATTCTATGCTAAGGATTAGCATAAAAACAATTCCCCAAGTGTGGAACTGGATCCAGTCCTCATTTTCCCCCTTTTCCATCCCCTCTTTTCTACCCTAGCCTCTAGGAGCTAAATCAGAGCTCACAAGTTAGGACACAGTCTTTTGGACTGCCAAATAGCTCCTATTGGCTCTCACTGACCTTGTGGTTTTATAAATTCACTGGAATGACTCATAATAGAGTATGCCTGTGGTACAGTAAGTTTACCTGATATGGCTCTTCTATCCCTAGCCTTTGTAACTCCCACAAAATGATTAGGTGGAACCATGTAAATAGGGTGTTCAAGACTCTAATGCAGGGATTGGTTAGTTTTGCCATTCCACTGGGTTTAAAATGAGGATCTCAAGACCATTAAGAAAGAAGGACCAGGACCAGAGCACATCCTTGGCCTGAGATTCCTGTATGGAGAAGCAGAGGCAACAGCACAGAAGAGACAGAGCAGCAGACTTCCCAGCCAGGGAACAAGTAAAGCTGAGTGCCTTCGGGCAGGAGGTTGGTGTACAGAATTGGGTATTCTTTGGACATTTACAGACAGAGCTAAAGGAACTTTGCAAAACTTGCCTAAGCAAGACAGAAGCCAGGTGTCCATGTGACTGAAAGGCTGAGGACAAGAGGGAGGTGTACCTGTAATATGACTGAGAAGAGATGTTCCTGACTGTCGAACTGCTGTATCCTGTTGTTTCTGATCCTGAATTGTACCCTCTTCACTTCCCTAATAAACCCCATAACTGTGAGTATTGTCTGTGAGTTCTGTGTGGCCTTTGCAACAGATTATAGAACTCAATGGATAAGTAGAGAATGCTTTGGTGTCAGAAGAGGAAAAAGAATGTTGGAAAGTGGAGGCCTGTGTGACTTTCAAGCCTTACAGGAATTGTCCCTGGGCTGATTTTGAGTTTGATTCTCCTTCCTTGTATAGTCAGAGGTCAGATATGGCCGTCAGGCCATTTCTGCAATACCATACTTGTTTTTAACTGCCATCAAGTTATCCCTGACACATGGGAACCCTGTGTGTTACAGGCATTACAGAGTAATACTGCTCCACAGGGTTTTCTTGGCTGTAACCTTTACAAAAACAGATCACCAAGCTTTTTCTTCTGTAGAGCCTCTGGGATTCACACTGCCAAACTTTTAGTTAACAGCTGAGTGCAAACTGCTTCTGTCACACAGGTTCTTTGGATTTATTATAACCAAAAAGGATACAAATAAAGAAAACCATGAGGTAAAGTCTGAGAGGAGTGCTCCTGTGAAGCTTCCAGATCCCAAGAGATGAGCTACTTTTTCCCACACACTGTCACCAATCAGAAAGCTCATCTGAGCCTCAGGGTTCAGTTCTGGAATCAGCTTCTTCACATAGTCATCATAGATTATATCATGCCTCTTTAGGATTATTCAGCATCAGACCACCAGGTGGTCTCTCTTGATCTGGTCTACCCCTATTCATTATCCTAGGGTGTTCCCACTCTTGGGCACCAAGAACAAAGGCCAAATTGCTTTCTGAAAGGTGATTACACACCGTGCAATACTAATGACATCAGATCTTGTCCTGCAGGCAGGGACCTGGCAAGATACTAGGTACTAGATAGAACCTAACCCAAAACTCACTGCCATCAAGTCCATTTCGACTCATAGTGACCCTGTATAGTGTTTCCAAAGCTGTAAATCTTAACAGGAGCAGAAAGCCTCTTCAGAAATCAGAGCAGTTGGTGGATTTGAACTGCCAACCTTGTCATTAGCAATTCAGTGCTTATCCTAGAGTACCACCAGGGCACCTTATGAGGTAGAAGGCATAATGAATACTTAGGAGAGGCTTCATCAAGACAGCTCTTCTACTTCTGAGTCATTCCAGCTCCTTGTGAGCCAGAAGGAATAATGAATACTCAAGAGTGATGTCATCAGGTGGTAGTCATTGCCCTCACCCACATGTGCTCTGGTAAATATGCCCACGTCGGAGGGTGAGTGAACTCTTGCACAATCCTTTTGGTTCGGCTTTCCTATCTCCATTTGACAGCTGAGGAAACTGTAACTAGGTAACTTCCCCAAGGTGACTCAGCTAGGAAATACTGGAACCAACATTTGAACCCAGGTCTTTCTGACTCCATGGCTCCTGTTTTCTACCACTTCTGCCTCTGACCTCAGGAGCAATTGAGATCAGGAAACTAAAATCTCTTTTCCTTGCAACTGGCTATTTCCCCTCTAGCCCTACTCTGTTCAAGATAGACTGGCAAGGTGCCAAGATACTGGGAAATTTAGGGGCTGACACCCCTGTTCTCTTCTCATTTGTATCTCACCCTCCCACCTCTTACTCCTTGGTGCCTCCCTCTTACAGAAGAGCCATGTTCATGCTGGATGCCTTGGGACTAGCCTGGGCCCCCATCCCGCCCACCTGGAGGCTCCCACTTGAGCATTCTCAACCAGCACAAGGCAGTTGGGCATGGGAAACACAAGGGCTTCCTCCTCTTCCTCCTCTGCCAGTGTGCATCCAGGGACCTACTTCAGCTCCTTCCTCCACAGACCACCTCAAAACTTTGACTTGACTTTCTTTGGCTCATTCACTGGCTCCATGCTTCTCCATATCTCCGCACTGTCAGCCTTGTCTCCCAGGGGGCTGTGAACTCAATGGAGTTGTTCTGTACATGGACCCTGTGAACTCAGTGTGTTCACAAGCAGGTTGTCAGGCCATATGTGGAGCTCAATCCCGATATCTGAAGGACAAAATATGTTCAC